GTTGGGAAGGAAAAAGCGCGAACCGGCGAAGTTCAATATTCCCCTGGATATTAATTCAACACCTTTGTTATTTTTTTATTGTTTTAGGAGAGGGGCGGACCTATATAAAAAAAACCCAATCCTTTATTGTTAACACCGGTTTCTGGGACCCGGTGGAAAGGAATGTTTCTTTTTTCTTTCGCCATTAAGTTGGTTATAAGATTTTCCCTGGCAAATTGATTTTGGGGTTGGTGTGAAAACCAAATTTTAGAGGTAATGGGCTCCTGGGAATGGACACGGTAAGGTTTAATTTTATAGTAAAAAGTCCAATTCGTCGTACCGAATAGGGTACTTGTTTTTTTCTTTTGACGTCGGCAAGGATGAAAGTCAGATATTAATTTTTTTATTTGGAGGTTATGGAAGAGAATAAAAAATCGAAACCCCGAAATTAATTTGTGCTTAAGTGAATAATACATAGAAAATTATTTATGACGCTGAAATATTTGATTAATGCCAAAGAATTGTATAGAACTAAATACTCAGAATTACGATGTCAAAAGACATTCATTTGAAAAGAAAAAAAAATATCAGTAAAAAGAAATCTACATCGATTCGAAATTTAATTCTTATAAATATCCAAGATTAAATTATCATTTTTAATCGATCTTGTGATCTTAACTTTTGAATATAATACTTATCTTATCTTATCTTATCTTATCTTTAAAATTAATTTCATATTATTTATTGGGTTACAAAAACTAGAAATTGAAAAAAACAACATTAAAGATATAAAAGATATATCCATATTAAAAAAATTTACGAAATTAGATATAATAACTACCAGAAGCTAAGATAAAGATTGTTTCAGTTAGAAATATCAAATAGTAAAAAATAAAAGAAACATTACAACCAAAATAAATTAAATACCAGAATCAGTTAGTCTAATCTACTGTAGCCGTTCTTTTATTATAAATATTTTTTTTTATTTTAACCTACCTACGTCTTTCTTTTGACAAGAGAATTTAAAATTATTTTACATTCATTTTATTATTAATAAACAAGAGTCTTTCTTTATATTCAAAATGGTTTCTACAAATTCCAAAAATACTGTCCTTTCTTTATTTTCTGCTTTAACTTTAAGTGGTTTAGTTTCAAGTGCTCCTGTCGCCGCTCCTGCTTTAAGCGATGAGGTACACCATAAGCATGGTCACGTTGATAAGCGCTCAGGAACTTGTCAATTTCCAAATTATGATGGTATGGTTGCTGTCCAAACTCAAGGATCAAATGCTGGTTGGGCTATGCACAGTGACCAACAGTGTACCTTTGGATCTTGGTGTCCATATGCCTGTAAACCTGGTCAATTAATGGGTCAATGGGATCCATCTGTCACTAGTTATTCTTACCCAGGTTCTCAATATGGTGGTTTATATTGTGACAATAATGGTATTTTACAAACTCCAGACAGTAGTAAAGCTTATTGTTATGAAGGTGCCGGTACTGTGCTTGCTAAGAATACCGCTAGTGGAGGTAACGTTGCCTTTTGTCAAACTGTATTACCAGGTAACGAGGAAATGTTAATTCCAACTGATATTAGTTCAGGTGGTTCTCAAACCTTAGCTGTGCCAGGTCCAGAATATTGGGCAGGTACTGCTTCTCATTTCTATGTTAACCCACCGGGTGTCAGTGTTGATGACGGTTGTAAATGGGGTAGTACTTCTAACCCATGGGGTAACTGGTCACCATATGTAGCAGGTGCTAACATCGATGCCAACAAGAACACATATGTTAAGATTGGTTGGAATCCAGTATATTTAGAAGCCACATCACCATTCAAAGATAGTAAACCATCATTTGGTATTCGTATCACTTGTGATGATGAATCTCAATGTGATGGTTTGCCATGTTCTATCGATCCTAATTCCCAAAGTATTAACGGTGTCAACTCCGCATCAGCTACTGATGGTGCTGGTGGAGCCGGGTTCTGTGTTGTTACAGCTAAGAATGGTGCCAAAGCCAACATTGAAATCTTTTAAATTCCTCCAATTATTGCATTACTATTACTAAATGTCTTTTCTATTCCTAATCTTTTTTTTCCCCTTTGTTTGCGGTAATTTTTCAAGTTACTGATTTCAAGTCTTTCGACTAAATAAAAGAAGAAAAAAAATAAATTAAGGAAGCCGCTTATGATTTATACCACTATTTTTGTTCATTTCATTACCATATTTCCATCATTTCATTATCAAACTAGAGATACCCTTTTCCCAGTATTTTTATATTGGTTGTTACTATATATACATGTGTACTATTTATATTTACTTATTTTTTTAAAAAATTCTTTTTTATCCAAGTATTATTTCATCTTTGTTATTTTGTTTCCTATCCATTGCAATTCAACATAGGAATTGGGATAAAAGATTAAGCTAACGAATAGATTATTTTTTCATACCTGAAAATTCTTGTGGTGACAGGTTTATTGGTTGTGCACCAATCTTGTCCATCTCTTCTTTAAATTTTAATTTTTTATAGTCTGATATTCTTTTATCTTTGAAATACGATATCCAAGATTTTGCACAATCTTTTTCAAAATTCGATTCTTCAATATTACAGTTTTTTTTAATAATATCTTTATTTTTCTTATCATTTGCATCGATTATATCGACATTATCCAGACATTTGAAAAACAAATCTCTTGATTCCCAACATTGTTCACGTTGTTGTCTGTTGGCAACAGGTGCGTCATCATCACCATTACCTGAAAACCAATTGAGTAAACCCATTATTTACTATAACTTGAGATTATTGTCTATAACTCTGTTTCTTACTGTTATGGTTGTTCTAATAGTAGTCCCAATATCAGTTGACCTAGAATACTCCAAACAAGCAAAAAAACAACAACAAAACAAAATAATAATTTCAAAACCAAAATCAAATTATCTTCAGCTTAAGCTTAAATAAAGTACAGAAACGTATTTTGAAACCAGAAAGAGTGAGTAAATTATACCAACCACCAAAGTATCCTAAAAAAATAAGGGGGGGGGGGAGAGGGGAGGTAAAACAAGGAATAATAATACTGGTAAGAATGAATTGAACAGAATATAATTGAATATATCAATCAATCGATCAGAGCTCGCTTTATTATCCTAATTTGATAACGTTTATTGTAGTCAGTTAGGTATTTAGAAACAAATTTGAATCTAAACAAATAAATGTCAATTTTTGGTAATTATCCCTTTAAATTCTATAAATCGATCAACTCCAATAAATTAGATGAATTCAACAAACAATGAATATAAAAGAACCCATATATTCACAATCAATGATGATGGTATGTAAATTACAATGACCACCTCTTTTTAAAAAATTGGCTTTTTTCGTTTTAATTTCCTCTTCACAGGTATAGCTTCAGTTTTAACTCAACTAAATGCAATTAATTTCGTTGATAAGAACTTTGTGTGTAGCAAATGCAAAGACAGGATAAGGGGATTGATTGAGATGGAATTAATGTCAAAATATGGATTTGATAATTCTGTCTCAATGAATGCGAGGTAAGTATGTCTCATTCATTACTCAAGCTTAAAGAAACCAAACAAAAATAATAAAAGTGGAGTCACAAGAGATTTGGTAGTAGAACTTCCAAAGTGTGTGTAAAAGTGATAGCAATTAGGACAAACAGTTAGGTTAAGATACTAATGTATGATTTTAGCTGAGCTCAAGTAAATTTTATTTTTTTTGCTCGATGATGAAGAAAAACATAATTTCTATGGTAATTGAATGTAGAACACGTGGGCCGGGTAAACTGGAACTGGATTTGTTTTAAGTCTGGTTCTCATAATCAATCTCTTTTATCAATTAGTTCAGTCTTTATCGTGTATGAGATAGAATAATACACTGGAAGAAAAAAAAATTAAAAGGTCAAGAAAAAATACAGTGGTGGGTAACGAAATGGATCGGATACATTCATTATCGGTGGTGGTGGTGGTGGTGGAATTCGTGCAAGGACATAATAATTAAACCAAAAGAAAACCAAACAAACAAAAAATTCAACAAAAACTCTTCGGAGACAGGTGGGTAGAGTTCTGGTACTGTATTTATAATATTAGTATTCTGTCTATTAAACCCGAGTGTTGTACGTCAGTTTTATTGTTTTTGAAGGTACATCAAATTATGATAAACCATTCTTTTTGTTGGATTTTCCCACAACAAATTTTTCAGATTTTCGTTGGATCGAACGGAGTTAACCGGCCGACTACTACTGCTTCTTACGCACAAGATAGGAAGGAAAGGAAAAAGCTGACGGGAGTCGGCAAGTACCACAAAGATAAGAGTTATTCCTTCCCCTCCCTCACGCCCCAGAAATTGCTATCGATACGTTACTAATTTGAACTCATTTTTCTGTGTACAGCCAAGTTTCTTGAAACAAACTGGCTTACACGACCTTTTCAAAGATGCTGACAGCAGCAATTACACGCACGCACACACACGAACAAACATAATTAGAAGACCAACAAAGTTTTTTTTTGTTCCGTCTTTACCCGCCGTACCAATCAATCACAAACATAGATCAAACCTTAATCAATCCACACAACGAAATATCCCAGAGATCAGAGTAGACCATACAGCGAAATCACTGCAATCACCTGGTCTATGGTCTATATCTCAAAGATATATCTCTGATTTCCTCTATTCCACATCCAACTTTCGGGTTCCGCTATGCTATGGTCATGATTATGATTATGATTATGATTATGATTATGATTATGATAATACTTTGTTTCTATTATGCCAATAAGTTCGATATTAAGTTGCTGTTGCTGTTGCTGTTGCTGTTGTTGTAGCGTTTCATCGAATCAATTAACCTTATCAATTGCAATTGATTTGACCACTTCTAAGAGGAATCCACAATTTGAGCAAAAGAACATACGAATTAGCTCTCTATCTCTCACGCACTCTCTCTCTCTCTCCTCTAACCATCATCACATTACATTATACCCTGTTTTCTTCTTTTATTTTCATACCCGCTACTGTTACATTAGTTTTTTTATTCCTCAAAAACGAAGGGAAAAAAAACAAAAAAACAAAAAAATAAAAATTAAACAACATAAATTCCGCATGCTGCCCACTACAAGTGTGTACCTCTTTTAAAAATCTGTGTCTGTGTATCTGTTTATCTGTTGTGGTTTCTGGCCTTGTATCGGAACCTTCCTATAAGTTGGGTTTTTTTTTGGCTTTTCGGTTTTTTTTGGCTTTTCGTTTTTGGTTTTTGGTTTTTGGTTTTGGTTCGCCTTGTTTGTCCGGGTCTATCTGTCTGTTTCTGATTAATCTTCCCATTCATTCAGTCAAAAAACAGTTACTACTGCTGTTGCTCTCATTACATTTTGCATTTTTGGAATTTCGGGTATGTTCAATTTATATTGTAGTACCCATATCCCATATACATGACAATATCATTATAGTACTATACTATACTATACCATATTAAAACTTAACCTTATTTTCTCCCGTCGCCTTCTTTTTTTACGTGGTTTTTGCTTTGCTTCTTCTAGTTTGCTATCGCAATTATCTATCAATTACCAATTCCCACCTATAACAGATTTTGTTCTCTCTCATTTTAATCAATCGATAAATCAATCAATCTATGAATCAATCAATCAATGAATCGATTCATAGATTGATTGAAGGACTAATTCATTAAGTGATCACATCATGCCCATTCATTATTCACACAACTGCTACTACACCGGAAACAAAAACAAAAACAATATTATAAACTAAAAATTATAAACCCAAGAAACTAAACTAAACTAAACTAAAATAAAATAAAATAAAAATTTTCTTATTTGTTTTAGTTTTCTAATTATTTAATATCTTGCTAAGAACAAGAAGATTTGCTATTTAAATTTCGTTCTATCTTCTTCTCCCTCTCCCCTTCTCCCCCTTCTTCTTCCTCTTTTTCTTCTCCCTTTCAATTGCTATTATCAACTATTACTATATTATATCGCTTCTTGCTTATCCCAAATTTTCCTTGTTCCTTTACTATAAATACTTTTACTCTTTGAGATTAAGGCAACTACTCACCACTTTTTGCAAAAACGTTATACCAACTAGTTATCTGTTTTTTCAATACTCTCATATAAGAGACACACTGAGACAAAAAAAAGAATTATAAAAAATTTAATATTCACTCACACTACTCTCATAATATTATTATCATTTTAGGCTATTTGGCAACTTTTACTAATCGAAATCAACAACTTCAAGCATCATAATTTTTTGAATCATCACTATGGTAGAACAATTCTCAACTATCGTCGGCAAACCTGCCAACGCTCGTGAAACTGCACCAAGAATCACTAGCTCTCAAAAACAAATTATAGATAGACCTGTCGGATACTCTTGTTCAACTGTCTATGAATATTTACTAGAGGCTTTCGAAAAAGGTGGTAACAGAAAGGCAATGGGTTGGAGAGATATTATAGAGATTCATGATGAAAAAAAAATCATTAAAAAAAAAGTAGATGGTAAAGATGTAGAAGTCGAAAAAGTTTGGAATTTCTACGAATTATCAGATTATAAATATACCACTTACGATAAATTAACAGAATTAATGCATAACATCGGTAGAGGTTTGGTTAAAATCGGTTTAAAACCAAGTTCTGAAGATAAACTACACATTTACGCCTCTACTTCTCGTTACTGGATGCAAATGTTCACAGGTTCCCAATCTCAAGGTATCCCTGTGGTTACCGCTTACGATACTTTGGGTGAAAGCGGTTTAACTCATTCCCTAGTGCAAACAGAATCAGTAGCTATCTTCACTGATAACGCTTTGTTGAAAACTTTGATCAATCCACTACAAAAGGCCGACAACATTAAATATATCATCTACTCTGAAAAATTAGATCCAAATGATAAAAGACATGGCGGTAAATTATATGATGAAGCTAAGAAGGCCTTAGATAAATTGAAGGAAGTCAGACCTGACATTAAATTTTACTATTTTAATGAAATAGTTAAATTAGGTCAAAACGCAAAGGATGAAATTTCTCCAAGCCCACCAAAACCTGAAGATATCTCTTGTATCATGTACACCTCAGGTACTACCGGTGATCCAAAGGGTGTAACTTTAACTCATAGCAATTTGGTCGCAGGTTGCGCTGGTGTCAGTGAAACTGTTTATGGTGTCGTTGGTAAACAAGATCGTGTTATTGCATTCTTACCTTTAGCTCATATCTTCGAATTAGCTTTCGAATTGGTCACTTTTTACTGGGGTGCCATCTTGGGTTATGCTAACGTTAAAACAATCTCCTCAACTTCAGTTCGTAATTGTCAAGGTGACATGCAAACATTTAAACCAACAATTATGGTTGGTGTTGCTGCCGTTTTTGAAATGATCAAAAAGGGTATCATTAGTCAATTGGGTCATGTATCTAAATTGAAGCAAAAATTATTCTGGATGGCTTACAGTTCTAAACTAAATGGTATCCCAGGTAGTGGTATCTTGGCCAACATTGCTTTCAAAAAAGTTAAGGAAGCTACTGGTGGTCAATTAAGATTTGTCTTGAACGGTGGTTCTCCAATCAGTATGGATACTCAACAATTCATCACTACAGTTATCTGTCCATTGTTGATTGGTTACGGTTTAACTGAAACCTGTGCCAATGGTTGTGTCTTGAAACCTGATCATTACAGATTCGGTGTCACTGGTGACTTGGCCGCTTCTGTAACCATCAAGTTGGTCGATGTTGAAGAATTGAACTATTTTGCCAAAAATAATCAAGGTGAAATTTGGATTAAGGGTGGCTGTGTTTTAAAAGAATATTATAAAAATCCAAAAGAAACCGCTGACGCCATTACTGAAGATGGTTGGTTCAAGACTGGTGATATTGCCGAATGGACTAGAGAAGGTCATTTGAAGATTATTGATAGAAAGAAGAATTTAGTTAAGACAGCTAATGGTGAATATATTGCATTAGAAAAATTAGAATCTGTTTACAGATCAAACAAATATGTTATGAACATCTGTGTTTATGCTGATCAAAATAAGGTCAAGCCTGTTGGTATAATTGTCCCAAACTTGGCCCCATTAGCCCAATTAGCTAAAGACTTGAAAATCCTAAAGGCTAACGAAGACGTTGAATCATATTTGGATAACAAGAAATTGAGAAGAGCTGTTTTGGATGACATGTTGCACACAGCTAGATCTCAAGGATTAAATGGTATTGAATTATTACAAGGTGTTGTCTTCTTCGATGGTGAATGGACTCCACAAAATGGTTATGTCACTTCTGCTCAAAAGCTAAAGAGAAAGGTTATTTTGGAAGTTGTCCAAAAACAAGTCGACCAAATTTACTCCGCCAATTGAAGGGAACAATAGCAATTGGTATTTGCTTGCATTAACTGACAATAATAGACTAATATTAAAGAATCTGAAACGTTTCTTTTGAATACTGCATATATTTTTAAAGCATACATTATTAACTCCTAATTTAATTTGTTTATTATTATTTTTGGTATTAGTTTTTTTATCATCACTTTTTTTACAAACTTCTTATTAGGCCATTTTTTGTATTTATCCCATATGGCTATGATATTTCCTAACAAGAGATTTAATTTTAATAGTATTTAGATTATGTAATTTTACAAAAAAAATTAATCAATTTTAAAAATTCCAAGATTACTAACTAGTATCTAATAAGATAATAATTTTCCAAAGTTAAATATTTCTCCCGGGTATGAAACTACAGGCTATTACGATATCAAATAGCTGAGCGATTAGACGGGATTTTGACTCTATGACTTCTATATAACAAACGTACTAAATGCATCAGAAATATTTCCTGAATCTATGACTATGAATTATCAGAAAATCTTTGAAACATACTTCAATAGGACAAATAGAATATTAGCATAACATTCCAATTACCTTAGTTCTCCAAAGCATCGAAGATACCTAGCGGATATATTAAATCAATTGTCAATCTACATAAATAATATTCCTGAGACAAAGGAACCAGAATCTTAGCAATCCAAATCAAAAGCAATATTTGAAAAAATCAATTTAAACTACCTATTATCTATAAGATACCTATACGTGCAAATGGGATACCACACTATATGGAAGTGAAACGTGTGTAATAATATCCAATTCATCACAGCATCTTATGAACTGAAAACAAAAACCTCGTCCAAAAAACTTGATCGAGTAGTTAACAGCGATAATAGAGAAATCTTCATAAAATTTCCAAATTAAACATGCACTTCAAAATATATTACTAAATACTCATGGTAACTTTATTACAGTATAATCATCCATATATACAGAAAATTGATATAAATAGATATACCAGTGAATCTCGATGATAAAAATTTGAAAATTGGTAATTAGAATTAAAATACTACTTAAAATTTGGAACTATTTAGAAATATTTTCGATAAAAATTTTCGATGAAATATCCAAAATTCACATTATTCTAAAAATATTAAATTCCAATATAATCAGACATTGTAATTGCATCATCAATGGTTATTTGTATAAAATATAACCAAAGCAAAAACTAATTCAAAATAAATTAATCCAGAAAAGTAGCCATTAACTTTCGAATTTATTTTAAATTTTGCTTGCTCTTTATATACTAAACTAATTTCGAATTAAAAAAGAAATAAAGTGAAAAAAATCAATTAATTTCAAAAATTACCCGAATAAGAAAAATCTTTAAATCGAGGGCATTATCAGATAATACAAACGTGATGAGAACAAGTTTTAATGATATTAATGAACAAGTTGATGAGATATATGTATACTACAACTTTCAACTTTTGTTAAATATAATTTGAGTGTCAGTGAAGAGTGGACTTTGGTGTCATATTATGTCTGGAAGCGGTTCTGGGTTCAAAAATCCGGATTTAAGTGTTTATGTGGGTAACATCGATCCTAGTATAACCAAAGAATTATTATATGAATTATTTGTGCAAATAAGTCCAATTGCTAAGATCAATTACCCCAAGGATAAAGTGTTACAGACACATCAGGGTTATGCATTTATAGATTTCTATACTGAGGAAGATGCAAATTATGCCATTCAAGCATTCAATAATAACGTGCAGTTAAATAATAGGGTATTGAAAGTTCGTAAGACAAACAATAATATTTCTTCTAAATCTAGTACCAACTTGTCACAAGCTACCTCAGTTACACCGTACGCTAAGATTTTCGTGAAGAATTTAGATTCTTCTGTTGATGTTGCATACTTATCCAAACTTTTCAAAAAGTTTGGTTCCTTAGCTAGAGAATCTGAGATCTTCCATTTATCTAACGGTGAACTGCGTTGTGCATATGTGTATTTTAAAGATTATGAAAAGGCTGATGAGGCAATCAAGTCTTTAGACGGACAGCTTGTTACAAACAAAAGGATTAATATCGAGTACGCATTCAAAGAGAATGGTGACAAAAAGGCAAAGTACGGAGAAGATGTGGATAGATTATTAAATAAAGAAGCTATTAAGAATGGATTGATAAAGTAGAGGAATTCTATAGTATAATATTTGTCTTTAATCTGCACGTTTCCAATTCAAAGGTACAATGTTGAGAATCGGAATACAGTTAGTTATTTCCGCTACGTATGCTTTTTCCACTTTAAATGGTTAAGATATCATCTCATGCTTTTAATTACTAGCACAAGATATACGATAATCGAATATATGAATATTACGATTGCTATAGAACCATTATATCGGGTATCATTAGTGCGCCCATAGGGAGCGCTAATTTGAGTAATATTTTCTAATGAAGTGAGTGAGCATTGCAGATGTGGATAATTACCTACTATTTTATAGTTATTTTGAAATAATATATATTACTAGTAAAATAGTGGTTATTTTAAATTGAAGCCTACCATTATTTTGGGATATCTGTCTAAAAGGTAAGCCAATATATTCTAACAGTTACGTATCTTCCAAGGAAACCAAAAAATAACGACCCCGGAGAGGATTGAACTCTCGATCTTGCGATTAACAGTCGCACGCCTTAACCAGCTTGGCCACGGAGTCTTTGTTATTGAAAAATTTGTGTTAAATAATAGAAGGATAATCATAATTATGGTATATGTCCGGGTTATAAGATAACCAATGTCACACTAAGGGAGAAGAGACACAAGGGAAATGTAGAGAATCAAAAGTTTGTTGGTTCTTTACAGAATCGTTAATATTAGTAGATTGTTTAGTTCTTTGCAAAGACATTCTTATAAAGTGATATTGATCCGGTGTATAAAGTATAAAATATCCCATGGGATAATATACTGAATAGGGTCCTTAAAATCTTTCAACTTTATATACATGTTAAAATTCTGGAAATCAAAAGAAATACTTCTATTAAAACAATCTTATCCCTTAAAGGAAGAAGTTCCAAAATCTTCCCTCTTAAATTAATTAAGGATGAATTTCGCCTCCAAATTC